TTTATTTTTCTAGTTACACTATTCATTCAACAGATGTTGCTTCTATCAATCCATTGTGTGTTTTCAGAGAACCTTCTCTGTTTTTTGAGTCTGACACAATGCTTATCAATCCCAGTTCACTTTTTGCAATAAATCATGCCTCTATGTCTTTTATTTTTAAAGGTATTATTGATATACAATCATATGAAGGTTTCACATGAGCAACATTGTGGTTACAACATTCACCCTTATTATCAAGTCCCCCCTACACCCCAGTGCAGTCACTGTCCATCAGCACAGTAAGATGCCAGAGTCACTACGTGCCTTCTCTGTGCTATACTGCCTTCCCTGTCACTCACCAACATTATGTGTTCTCATCATAATGCCCCTTAATCCCCTTCTCCTTCTTCCCTCTGGTAACCACTAGTCCCTTCTTGGGTTCTGTGAGTCTGCTGCTGTTTTATTCCTTCATTTTTGCTTTATTCTTACACTTCACAGATGAGTGAAATCATTTGGTACTTGTCTTTCTCTGCCTGGCTTATTTCACTGAGCATAATATCCTCTAGCTCCATCCATGTTGTTGCAAATGGTAGGATTTGTTTTCTTCTTATGGCTGAATAATATTCCGTTGTGTATATGTACCACATCTTCTTTGTCCATTCATCTACTGATGGACACTTAGGTTGCTTCCATTTCTTGGCTGTTGTAAATAGTGCTGCGATAAACATAGGGGTGCGTATGTCTTTTTCAAACTAGACTCCTGCATTCTTAGGGTAAATTCCTAGGAGTGGGATTCCTGGGTCAAATGGTATTTCTATTTTGAGTTTTCTGAGGAACCTCCATACTGCTTTCCACAATGGTTGAATTATTTTACATTCCCACCAGCAGTGTAGGAGGGTTCCCCTTTCTCCACATTCTGGCCAGCATTTGTTGTTCCTAGTCTTTTCTATGTTGGCCATCCTAGCTGGTGTGAGGTGATATCTCACTGTGGTTTTAATTTGTATTTTCCTGATGATTAGTGATGTGGAGCATCTTTTCATGTGCCTGTTGGCCATCTGAATTTCTTCTTTGGAGGGGTGTCTGTTTAGATCTTCCATCCATTTTTTAATCCAGTTATTTGCTTTTTGGGTGTTGAGGCGTGTGAGCTCTTTGTATATTTTGGATGTTAACCCCTTATTGGATAAGTCATTTACAAATATATTCTCTCATACTGTAGGATACCTTTTTGTTCTACTGATGGTGTCCTTTGCTGTACACAAGCTTTTTAGTTTGATGTAGTCCCATGTGTTCATTTTTGCTTTTGTTTCCCTTGCCTGAGGAGATGTGTTCAGAAAAAAGTTGCTCATGTTTATGTTCAAGAGATTTTTGCCTATGTTTTCTTCTAAGAGTTTTATTGTTTCATGGCTTACATTCAGGTCTTTGATCCATTTTGAGTTTACTTTTGTGCATGGAGTTAGACAAAAATCCAATTTCATTCTCTTACATGTAGCTGTCCAGTTTTGCCAACACCATTTGTTGAAGAGGCTGTCATTTCCCCAGTGTATATCAATGGCTCCTTTACTATATATTAATTGGCCATATATGTGGGTTTATATCTGGGCTCTCTAGTCTGTTCCATTGATCTATGGTCTGTTCTTGTGCCAGCACCAAATTGTTTTGATTACTGTTCATGCCTCTATTTCTATCTGTTCTTTTCAGACCTTCATGCTCTCCTTCTCTCTGATTTCCTTGAAATATCTGACCAGCTTTTGAATTTTATCTTCTTCATGTGAATGTTTGATACAATATCTGGTTCGGTTTACTCAACATGCTAGAAATATTTATCCCATAGCATTGAGGAAGTAATTCCTTAAGTGAAGACAAAAAGAAATTCATCATACTTGCTTCTTTTTGTTGTGTTTTCCCTTCCATGCTGCACAGTACAGTGCTGTGTGGGTGGGTCAGTGTGTTCAGTTATGTTCTCAGTATTTAGAATGTAATCATGTAGATGCTATTTGTTTACCTTGCTTTAAATCAGGTTTTTTCAACTTTGGCACTACTGACATTTCAGGTCACATCATTCTTTGTTGTGTGGGGAGGCAGGGGGATGTTCCTGCGCACCGTGGGACATTTCCCATCATCCCTGGTGTTTACCAACTGGATGCCAGTAGCACCTTCTCCCCTGGGTTCTCAGAACCAAAAATGTCTGCAGATATTGCAAGAAGTATTGCTTTAAATGAAGGAGTGCCTACTAAGTATGATATTAGTGATTATAGAGTACTTTGTATTCCAGTTTATGGTGAAGCATAATTCAGGTTTGAAGTTCTTACAGACCTTAATTCTGTGTTAAGTTTAAGATATACGTATCCTAGATCAGTGAAACATAAGCTCATGCAGCTGGAAAAATTCATTTAAAAATTCTTATGTCACCTCTCTGAAAGGCAATTTGGCAATGTTAGTCAAAATTAAAATGCAAATAATCTTTATCCTAGCAATTCCATCTCAAGAGATTATTTTATAGACATAATTCCCCTGGTGTGAAAGGATAGTCAAGGATATTCACACCAAGGCATTATGTATTAGGGCAAAAGATCAGAAACTAAATATACATGAATAGAAGATGAGATAAATAAGTTAGAGTACATCCTTACAATAGTACACTACGCTCTCTTAAAAAGGAACGAAGCACTTCTTTATTTGTGCTGAAATAGAATAGTCTCTTAGATATAATATTTAGTGAAAAAAGCAAGGTGGAGAACCGTGGCTGGCATATGTATGGCTATCTTTTGTGTCCCTAGAGAGAGAGAGAGAGAGTGTGTGTATCCCTGTTTAGAAATAGACATCTCAAGAAAGATCCATGAGAAACGAAACTGGTGCAGTGCGCAACTCTGGACCCTGGGTGACTGGTATACTGAAAAATACTCAATTTTCACTGTGTACATTTTACATATTATTATACAGTCTTCATGCATTACTTACTAAAAAGAAAGATTTTAGAGAATTAGTATTTCTTCATGATCTGTAGCAGGGTATGTAGAACTGGGGATGAGGAATGTTACCAGAAGAATCCAAAATCCTAAAGAAGAGTGAAATCATGCCTAACCATTGCTGTCCTCATGCTTCTCAAAAAAAAGAAGCAGGCCCAAGGAAGCACTTTAAACAGCTGAGGACGGTAATGGGAAAAGGGGCCAGAGGCAGAGGGATCTGTCTGGAATCACCTTCTCCTTCTCCTCTCTGATGCCCCCACGACTCCCTACAGTTCCCCTTGTATACGCCTCTGCTCAGCGCTCTCCTCCACAGGGTGGCCAGAATTGGCTTCTAATCGTACACCTGATGGCACTGCTGCTCCGCACGGCTCCCAATGCCAACACAGTGTGGCCTGGGTTGCCCTCTGTGCTCCAGCTCTTTACCATGGGTTGGGTGAAGGGACTGGTAATTAAGAACATGTGCTTTCTGGAAACACACCTATATGGGGTTTGAGTCCTGCTCCTATTTCTCTACTTCATTTCTCACTGTCTCCTCCTCCCTCACCTCTCCAGCCATCTCCCAACACGCCTGACCATTTTATGTCTCTATAGTTTTTCTTATGACAACGTAGCTGTCTGGGATCCCCTTGACTTGCTGATATGTACCCGCTCCCTTTCAAGACTTAACTGAACCATCACCTTCCCCAGGACGTCTTTGCTGCACCCACCTTTCTGCCCTCTCTACATTTCCTACCTACCCAGGCAGCTTGCCACAACTACTCTCAGCATTTCATGATTTTTCCCCTTTCACTCCAAAATTACACATTCTTGGAAAATGGTGAGATGTTAACAAAAGCTTCAAGGCAAGCCAGTTAGGGAGTTGGTCAGAGAGTCAGAGAGCTGAGGAGGGGAAGCTGGGAAAGGGGGATGTAAGGAAGGTCAAGGGAGCCATTTTCCATATGGGGCATTGATACTTCAGTCACTCAGAAGCGGCGGGCCTTTCTGCATCACTCTTTTAATTAATCCTAAATATAATTCCTATTTTCAGCATCCCATGCCTTGGAATTACTTGTGCTAGGAAAGAACAGTGTAGCTAAGAGAGAAAAAGTTGATACAATGGAAGCACATGCACTTGATAAGGATTCGTTCAAAACATTTCTTTGTTGAGAAGTGACTGTTAGTCTATTGTACTTTGACATACTCTGTTTTTATTTGCTCAAGAAGTTTCAAACTTGCTCCCCTAAAAAACCATATCTCCTGGTTCTTTGCCATGTACTCAACTCAGTTTAAGTAAGTGCACAGATTGAGGAGTGCCTCCTCTGCTGTCAGCTCTGGGGCCAGCTACTGCTGCTGTCTGACATCACCACATTGTCTCTGATACCAAGTATCTCACGCACCCCAGTGAGGGGCAGGCCTCTGTGTTTCAAGTAAGGTCTGAAATTCCTTCCAGGTGGGGCCAATTCTTGTCATTTCAAATGATGGCCCCGCTCTCCTCCCAAAGGCACCAGGTATTTGACATTCTTTGACTATTCCTTCTACTAAATCCTTTTTAAAAAATTGTGAAATAACTCTCAGAAGAGTACATAAAACTGAATGCATAATGACAAAACCCTGTAACCCCCACCCAGAGAGTTCTGTTAACCCTATAATCTCCATGTTTTCTTCCCAGTGATGTCCCTTCTCTCCCATCCCAGAGGTAACTACCATCCTGACTTTTATTTACACCTATGCATGCATCTCTAAACTAAGTAGCTTATTTTTATATTTAAGCTGGAAATGTATAAATGAACTCATACTGCATATATTCTTTTGTTTCTTGCGTTTTTGTCTAAATATGTTTACGAGATTTATCCATGTGGTTAGCCTAGAGATCATTAATTTTCATCACTCTTCGGCTAGTTATTTTTACTAGCAGAGTACAAGTGAGTGCTATCATCTTGGTTATGAAAGACAGCCAATAAACATTGCATGTGTTCTTTCCTTCCTTGCCTTCCCTTGATGTTTACATTTAGAAATATCATCAATCTGAAAACGGTCACCACACACAGCAATCAGTAGGGTGTGCGTGATACTCACTGACGACATTGGCTTGTCCGGTGAATATGGTGTACTGGAGCTCGTAGGAAACCACGCTGAATTCATCGTCAGAGCTCCAGTGAACGGTGATGGTGTCGTAGGAAGCTGTGCAGAGCTCTTCTCTAATTGTGGGAGGGTTGGGAGCTGTGGGGATCAAGAATCAGACACTGATGGAATACATTTCAGAGATGTTTGACAGTCAAAGCAGGCCTTTCTAGTAGGTCCATCTAAGTAGTCAGTATGGACTTAACTATTTATCATGGAAGCATGTTTAGGAGCTTAAGCAAGCAGTACTCTTTTACCACGAAAGTAAACATGTCAAAAAGTAAACAAGATGAACTTTTGTAATTTCATCTACCTTGGGGGAAGTGACCACTAACTTTTTCGGTAAGGGGCTATATGGTAAATATTATAGGCTTTGTGGGCCATACAGTCTGTGGTACAGCTGCTCAGCTCTACCTTTATTCCATGGGGGGCCACAGGCAATTCGTGCTTGAATGAACACGACGAGGTTCCAGTAAAACTTAATTTACAAAAACAGGTGAAGGCTATGAGCTGAAGTTTGCCAATCTGAGCTATGTGATGCCACACACTGTATTTACGTACCCAAATATACTGTTGTTGGGACAATAGTGTTTATTATTCTATAACAACTCAGCAAAATAATTTGTTTGTTTCTTTCACTAGATATCTTGATGGCTTATATGAAAAAAAGCTTATTAGCATGGCCCTATTTTCTTCTCATTTTTCAATTAATAGGTGATATTTCAAAGTTAAGAAGACCATTATTAACAATCAGTCATATCTAAGAAGTACATTTTCCTTCCCCAAAGAAAACATGATTCCTTGGCATTTGGGTAACTTTATCACTTGAGAAGGCTGCTGTTTTATGTCTTGAACACAGTCTAGAGTAGAGAAGTCTACAGTCTACCAAAACAATGATCTTAAGTTGACTTAAAATCTACTGGATTAATTTCAGTAACTGGTTTTATGGAAAGAATTTGTGAGCAAGAAAAAGACTAGGCAGTGAGTGTTTTGAACTGGCAATAATATTTTAGAGCAGGGGTGGGCAAAGTATGGCTATGAGCCACATCTGGCCCACTGCCTATTTTTGTAAATAAAGTTTTATTGGAACACTGCCAGACTCATTCATTTATGTACTGTTTATAGCTGCTTTTGTGCAACAACTGAGTTGAGCAGTTGGGACTATATATCCTGCAAAGTCTAAAATATTTACCATTTGGCCCTTTAGAGTCAAAGTTTATTGACCCCTGGTTTGGAGAGGCAATCCAGCCCTTTTCTTCTTCTCTTCTGTACACCAGAAGCTAACTTCAAAGGGAGAAACTTCTACATTTGACAGATTAGTAGCAACCTTTGCTTATACTATGACAGAGTTCATTCCTGCTCTAAACTTTGATCAGGATCAATGAATCTGAAACAAGCCCAAAGAGGGAAGAAAGTTTATGAAAGTGGTAAATTTAAAATTGATTGTCTTACTATTCTTCACTTTACCACCTGGAGATAGACCCAGTACAACTATTGTACGAAGCAAGTAAGTTTTATGTCTGCTGTATAAAGTCAATTATCTAACTTTGTCTATTGGTTATTCAATTCCAGAAACATACTGAGCACCTGCATGTGGCTGGCAAGCATGAAGTAGTGCATACCGAGCCCTTAAAGCATTCCTTCTGGAGTATGTATTTATACATCTGTCTCCTGAGATATCCACATGCCAGATTTAATGTCACGTGCTGTGACTTGGGGGTGCATGAATCAGTGACACCAATCAGGGGATGCATTATGTGGGGGAGACCCAGCTGCATCGTAAAACATCGTAAAAAAAAATGCTTATAATTATCTGTGTGGTCCCTGTTAGTGTGGGATCACCCTCCACAGATCAGCAGAGAAATACATATTCTCCCATAATTTCAATAGTTCACTGAATTATTTCTTCATCAAGCATTATAGGAAGATTTTGTTCTTTCTGTATTTAGTATATGATTAAATATAAAGTAAACTTATGTTCAAACTAGGCTAGTAGCTGTGAGACACACGGCAGCAGCTATAATCAGAGAGGAAATGTCGCCTCTCTGGGCTAGTAACTTGACATACCACTTAGAGGCATGTCACAGGAAAAAAAAATCTTGTTTTCACAGCCAGGCAGGCTAACCCTGTTTTGATTTTAAACCCAATGGGTTTGTCCTGAAAAGTCAATACCCAATTGACTGTAAATGAGTATGCTGCCAATTTCAATATTCAGGGAATTGATACCCGAACTGTTATTTTCTTGCCTTTTTCATAAACATGACACAAGAAATGGTGGGCTAATACTCCACAGGCACCTCGTTTCCTGCTTACAAATGTCTGATAAACTATTTGGACTTGGCAATATCAGCCAAGCATCGCATGTTATGGCCAGGATTGATGTTATGTCTAGAAATGGGCCAAATTTGTATGTGAGGTTGACAGCCAAGACGGCCTACGAGCAGGTACCCCATATGGTCTTTGGTTTGGCATAAACAGCCATCGGGATGATCTATGGTAAGCATGTTACCAGTTGGTGCCAACGACTTTCATAATTTCCCCTTAATCAGCACTCTGGCAGTCACGTGGAAGTACGTGCCCATGCATGTGTACCCACTGAAATCCTAGGAAACGAGTATTGGGAAACGGGGAGCACACGTTCTTGTCAACAAGACACTGATTTTGTGCAGAATGGCTGTGCGCCCAGCTGCACAGCTCTTCGGTCTTCTCTGCCCGTAGGCATGAGCTTCTGACACAGATCTGGCCACATGACACAAGGGGAAGTTTGCCAGATGAGTCTTCTGAGCAAGCTTTTTGGTTTCTTGGGAAACAAAGACAAACCTGGCTGACACAGGTTTGGTCATCATTTCCCCTCTGCCCCTCTCTTTCTGTTTATTAGTTGAGCAAAATGCTTGGAGGTGCTGTAGACATGTTGGGATCACATAGCAAAAAAGCAACACAAGGAAGACGGCAGAGCAGGAAAAGAGAAAGAGCCTGGGGTCTGAGGTCATCACTGAACCTTTGCCCAGCCCTGGGTCACATCCCTCTGTTCCCGTTTCTGTGATATGACCACTCTTTAAGGGGTTTAGTTACTGCTAGTTGGATTTTCTGAGGTTGCAACCATACTCATTTCCAAATGTCAGAAGACAAAATGAGATTTTTAACAGGATGCCATGATAACAACCTCTTAGCCAGAGGAAGTCTAGACCAGCGCAAACTAATATAGTAGCCACAAGCTACGTGTGGCTCTTTAAATTTCAAGTACATTTAGTTAAAGTTAAATAGAAGGAAAAAGTCACAAGTTACATTTCAAGTTTTCAACTGCCCCCTAAGGCTAGCAGCTACCATCTTGGACAGTGCAGACACAGAATGTTTCTATCATTGTAGAAAGTTCTATGGGCTAGTATTATTTTAATAAGTCTCAGAGTTAAAAGCTTAAAAAAGGAAGCTGGTATATTCATAAATACTTGAAAACAAGTGGTATGGTTTGAAAGACTTACAAAGTTTGTGGGACAGCCTGACTCCCTTGCAAATGCAGAAGGGCTAAAAATAACACATTGGGTACCTTGCAAAAAAGCCTGATTTTCTGGGTACGGTGCTCCTGGAATATAAACTCCTTGCCTTCTATCCACAGACTGTGAAAACAAACATCACACAATGCTCCCTCTCTTCTGGGCCACTTTTCCCAGCCACTGTCCCACAAACACGCACACCCAGAACTTGGGGGTAGACACACTGATGCCGTGCTAAGTTAGGGCTGTGGTCTCTTAAAGGTTGCATGTCCTCAATTCAGTGCACATCTGGCTTCACTGTGTATATGGCGCCTTCCTGAAGTCATAGGCACCAGTGGCTTTGGCTAACACAAATAAGGTCGTCTAAATAGTCCACATTCTACCAATGCATGTTCTCAGTTCCTGCTTTAGAGGTTGACAGCAAAGAAAAATTCGGAAGCATGGTTAGGATTAGTAGACACCTGAGGTTTTCCTTTATTACTGTTGAGTTTTGTTTTTTAAGCCTGACAGCCTCGCAACCCCCTCACCCGACACACACATACAAGCCTATCAAAAAGCACAGAAGTGAAACAGGGCACCAGGAACTCAATTTTGGGGTCCTTTGCAATGGTGTCCTTTGCCAAGATGAAATTTGGCCTTTGACAGAAAAAGCAGAAGTCTTTGGAGTCTGTAGAGACCTGGGCCAAATCCTAATTCTACCACTCCTTAGCTATCTGATCTCCAGTAAGATGGATGGTGTCCATCATTGGCAAAATGAGGATTATGATACTTTACCTCAATCTGATTTTGTGAAGATTAAACAAGGTCACAAATGCAAAGAGCTGGAGCAGGGTAGACACCCAATCAAAGTTAGCTGCCAAGTTTCTCTCTGCCAAGGCACTGTGAGAGTCAGATGCCTTGCCGAGACGAAATGGAAAATAGCCACACCACCTTATGTATCTCTTTGATGGCCAACAGAGTTATTACTTGTGGTACCCATAGTCTGAGAGTGAGGGAAATGGTGGTAAGTATGCTTTTAATTATCAGGATTCTCTTTTTCCTTCTGTCCCCAATTTAGTCTTGGATTGGGTTGTTTGGGTTGGAAAAAAAAAAAGAGTACCAGAAATTGTTTATGGGAGTATTAGACTCCATTCCTAAATCAAAAGCCCACACCACTGGTTTTTTAGGGCACTGATCTGGTGGCAAACTATTTATATCACCGAATGCACATGGTATTAAAGAGAACACAAAGGACCATACCTGTAAGGTAATCCAGACATTCCAGCAATTTCTTCTCTCGGGAAAAATCTAAGGCAAAGGTATCAAATGTGTCATTGAGGTTGATTTCAGGAATTAGGACCTGGGATGACGCAGTTGCCATGGAGACCCTGTAATTTAAACAAAACAACTTTTTAGAGATGTCAAGATGGCCTTCACCATCACTGCATAGAAGTGAAAGAAACAAAAGGAAAGAAATATCATTAAAAGATAGTGCTGTTTTTGTATGAGAACCTCAGAACCTCAGAATGGCGCAGCACAGCAACACAAGGCAAATGAAGGCAAACTCAAAGAAAAGGCAAAGGACTTGGGGAACAACAGCAGAATGGCTTCCTCCTCTCCCTTTTTACTATCAGAAAAAGAAATTCGCCAGAGAAGCAGAAGAATATTCATGCTTCACGTCGCTGTGTGTTCTAACAGCCTGGCCCCGTCACATCTAACCCCAGCGAGGGGCACACGGCTCCGGGCATTTCTTCACACATCTGTCTGGGAAACTGTTTGTTCCTTTCAGACTCGACCCTGCTCCACTTCAAAGAAGAGTCTCCAAAATTTCAAACTGCATAAAAGGCAAAGTGAAGATTAAAAGAGAATGTTTCCAGATAGTGGATTAGTTTAATCAATTACTAGCCTCTGTCTAAAATAAACATTAAAAAAGGAGCTTTTGTCTGGCTTGTTTTCATTCTCCTTGTATTCATTTTCTTGCACCATATTCCCAGCAGATGCCATGGAAAATATTCATGAGCTTTCTCACAAATTCCCCCAACGGATGCACCATTTCTCCTCTTCATTCAGGGTTGCTAGTTAGAATTCTCATTGATAAACTCTAAGCAAGATGTAAGTAAGTACCAATCTCTTGTTATGGACTCTCATGTTAACTAAGAAAGTTCAGTTACTAACAGCAGAACATGTTGACTAATTAAAAAATGCAAGTCATTCTCTTCAAAGCAAGGAATTTGTGGCATGATGTAAAACACTTCTGGGCGTATCAAACTGCTGGATCTTGTTGATTTTGGTATTTGTTAAGTTCGGTGACCACCACCAAGGACCTACTCAGTGGAGGGTTGTGTGCATAGCCCTAGGCGTTTTTGAGCAAAGAAACAACTTTGAAATAGCTTAGCTCTAAAGCTACTTACTTATTTTCTGATTAAGGGCACTGATACTCACTTACACAAAGTCACAAAGCTAGCTGCTAACAGCCAGGAGAATTCCAGGTCTGTACTATTCCATCTAATCTAGAAAAATTCCAAACTGGTTTCTGCAAGAGAAGCATCTCCTTCTGCATCTCTGAATGGCTCTTAGAGAGCTTTGGATTTTATAAAGATAGTGTATCTTGGCTATACAAATTACTCCTGTGGGTTTATTCATATAATGGAATATTATTCAGCCATAAAAAGGAGTAAAGTACTGATACGTGCTATGGATGAACCTTGAAAGCATCATGCTAACTGAAAAAAGCCAGGCACAAAAGACCCATTTGTGTGAAATGTCTAGAATGGGCAAATCCATAGAGACAGAAAGAGATTAGTGGTTGCCTGCAGCTTGGGCGAAGGGGTGATGCAGACGACTGCCGAGTGGGTAGGGAGTTTTCTTTTGGGGTGATGAACATATTTGGGAACTTGATAGAGGTAGTCATTGAACAACATTGTGAATGTACTAAATCATACACTGAATTATACACATTAAAGTGGTTAATTTTATGGTACGTGAATTTTACCTCAAAAAAAAAGTTACATCTGTGAAATGCCCCAAATCCTTAGGAACAAAGCTTCTGTAATTGTATTTCTGGCACATTTTCAGTGCTGTATAGGAAGGGAGGTGGACAGTAATAATATTATACCAATGCAATGATTGGACTGATCCTGGGATCCATAGATGAAAGTCTGAGGAGGTATAAACTCTGGAAAGGAAAGTTAAAGTGTTGGAATGAGGGTGGATAATCTAATTTCACCCCCTGCCTCTTTCACCAAGAAAGAGGGAAGAGCAGCATTGTGTCATCTTGTTGGGTAAATATTGCACCCCAGGGAATTGGGCTAATAAAATTGTGACAAACAACTGCTAAGTTGGACTGATGGATAAAGGGATGGTTGGTTGCTAGGCATTTTTCACAGATGGTCCAACTGTATTTTCAAAATGCTTTCCTATGACCCAGAATCACAAAAACGCCTTAAAACTCGGGAGATCTTAGGATTATTCAGCAAATATCTATGAAGCTCTTAAAGTATGCCATGTCCTGAGAAGCCCAAAATATTTGCATCAATCCAGAAAAGTTAAAAGAAATTCTACCATGCCATCTGAACTCCTCAAATAAAAATATCAAGGTGAAACCCCAATTAATTCTGCTTCATGATGTCCAGCAGGGAGAACTGCACTGAGCTATTCTGAACCAGGTGCCCAACTTTCTGGGGTGTTTCTCTGCCATCCACATGTGGTACAGATCTTTTGCTCAAAAGGGCAGAGGACCTTGAATACTCTGAACAGGCGATCTCGCTTTAGCACTCCCCCTGTCCAATGGCAGAAGCCTTTTCTTAGGCTCACCCTAAACAGATTTTGTTCCCAAGCTTCTCCTGGTTCTACAGTCCACAGACAATCAAAACATGCTTTAGTTGAGTGACACTGTTAAAACTGCCTTCCATCTCGATGGTGGGAACTTTGTGGAGAAAGAACGGAAAGATAAAGCCTGGGAGGCCGACTGGCAGCCAGAACCTTTGTGGATGACTGCAGCTTTTAACACCTACACATATTTTTGATGGGAGAAAGATATTTCTCTTTGCCTACAATTTCAAACTCTTATTTGGAGTGACAAGTGATGGGAGATCTGCCAAATTCAACATTTTAGGGTGTGTTTTTATTCCTCAAATCCTTATTGCCCATCTTCTGGCCATTAAGAGAAGTTGCCCAAATCTACCAGGGCCATCAGTGCTACTTTCTCAATTCTGTGCTTTCAGTTGTACGTGTCTGTGTGTGTGTGTATGTTAAGCTCTTACTAGATTGGGCAAATAAGGGTACTTTGTCCTATCTTGATGTTTAACAGGGTGAGCTGCACATTACTTCCGGTTTCTATTTCAACTTTGATGCCTCTAATCTCCATGACGCTGTTACTAGCAGCTACATGGGGCCAGTTTTCCAGAAGGTGGGCATGTCTAGAGCTACTCTGCTCACAGAGTTTCTGCCCAACAGTCAACGCCAGGGGAAGATGCTGCACCCTTTCTGCCATTATCCCCCCTCACCGTGCCCAGCCCCCAACAACGGCACTTGAATGCGTCTCTCAGGCAGATGGGCTACAGTGCACGTCACGGTGGTAAAACCTGGTGAGGTCTCACAGTGACAACATGTGGTTTACTTTGGTCAGCTCAGGATTTCCCAAAGGCATTTGGCTCTGGAACCTTGTTACTATTTTAACATCAATTAATACCCTGCAGAGCACATTTCAAAAATCAGCCTTCGGATGAGCTCTAATGCTAATTCTTTCCAGAGCTGACAACCACAGTCCTTGGCTTTGTATTCTGGGAAAGTCTGATGGATCCTTGAACTGCCTATGTCACTGATGGTCAGAGGAGTCTCCTTGTGGAGTCTAAGATCCTCCTAGGAGCTCTGAAAAATGGGTACTGTTCAGAGGGAATTTTCTTTTTACTGTCCTCTTGATGTAGAGAATTTGCCACCTAAGTGATTTCAATTTTAGATTTCTCATAAGCAGTAGACTATCTTATGCATGGATTCAGACCCTGTTTTAGAGATTCATTAACTCTTTCATTCATGCCAGACCATTTACTACATGGTGGAGCTATAATGGTGAAAACAAGATGGCGGGGAGTCCTGCGGCTGGTAGTGTGTAAGCAAAATTAGCCTTCAAGTGTTCAGAAGCCACCTCGGTGTTCTCCGTAATTACTGCTAAGCAGGTAGCACCAAGCCAGCACTTCATCCCAAAGCATACGCAGCTTCCCTAATGTACAGCTTGAGGAGCTCTCTGCTTTTGGGGTTTTTTGATGCTTCTGAATTGAAAAACTTTCTGCAGTTTGATTCAGCTTGTACATATCCACTTTAAGTGATTTAACGATGCAGAAAAATCATATCCACGTCTTACTTTAGAAAGGCCTACAGGATTACAAATTTGTTCTGGGCTCTCCATCTTTGAATAGAAGAGTAAAGTGTACAGGCACCAAAGGCCAAGACAGACACAAAGCGAGGCAGAGAACTATGAAGTCATGTCCTAGAGACAAACATTGAGTAAAGGGTTGAAAAGAGACAGGTAGACAGAGACCAGCACTATAATAAAGCCACACATGGAGGGGTCCTATTGACATCCTAAAATATGAAAATGTGAATGCAGCAAATGTGATGGAATGCTGATGATGCTTCAGACCTGTTGTGAGGAGTCGCCAGCAATGTTGTTACAATCGCTGATGGAGGTAGCTATCATGAGCCCAGGTTTTTTCTAAGTAGAAAACAGCTCATGGATAAGCCCAAAGAATCACAGTTAAGAAGTGGCAGTGCTGGCACAGCAATCAGAGAAAACAAAGAAATACAAGGCATCCAGACTGGTAAAGAATAAGTCAAACTATCACTATTTGCAGATGACATGATATTGTACATAAAAAACCCTAAACAATCCATTCCAAAACTACTAGAACTAATATCTGAATTCAGCAAAGTTGCAGGATACAAAATTAATACACAGAAATCTGTGGCTTTCCTATACACTAATGATGAACTAATAGAAAGAGAAATCAGGAAAACAGTTCCATTCACAATTGCATCAAAAAGAATAAAATACCTAGGAATAAACCTAACCAAGGAAGTGAAAGACCTATACCCTGAAAACTACAAGACACTCTTAAGAGAAATTAAAGAGGACACTAACAAATGGAAATTTATCCCATGCTCTTGGGTACAAAGAATTAATATTGTCAAAATGGCGTCCTGCCTAAAGCAATCTACAGATTCAATGCAATCCCTATCAAAATACCAACAGCATTCTTCAACGAACTGGAACAAATAGTTCTAAAATTCATATGGAATCACAAAAGACCCCAAATAGCCAAAGCAATCCTGAGAAGGAAAAATAAAGCAGGGGGATCTCGCTTCCCAACTTCAAGCTCTACTACAAAACCACAGTAATCAAGACAATTTGGTACTGGCACAAGGACAGAGCCACAGACCAGTGGAACAGAATAGAGTTCAGATATTAACCCAAACATATATGGTCAATTAATATATGATAAAGGAGCCATGGACATACAATGGGGAAATGACAGCCTCTTCAACAGCTGGTGTTGGCAAAACTGGACAGCTACATGTAAGAGAATGAAACTGGATCACTGTCTAACCCCATACACAAAAGTAAATTCAAAATGGATCAAACACCTGAATGTAAGCCATGAAACCATAAAACTCTTAGAAAAAGAACATAGGCAAAAATCTCTTGGACATAAATATGAGTGACTTCTTTATGAACATATCTCCTGGGCAAGGGAAACAAAAGTAAAAATGAACAAGTGGGACTATATCAAGCTGAAAAGCTCTGTACAGCAAAGGACACCATCAATAGAACAAAAAGGCATCCTATAGTATGGGAGAACATATTCATAAATGACAGATCCGATAAAGGGTTGACATCCAAAATATATAAAGAGCTCACACATCTCAACAAACAAAAAGCAAATAATCCAATTACAAAATGGGCAGAGGAGCTGAATAGACAGTTCACCAAAGAAGAAACTCAGATGGCCAACAGACACATGAAAAGATGCTCCACATCGCTAGTCATCAGGGAAATACAAATTAAAACCACAGTGAGATATCACCTCACACCAGTTAGGATGGCCACCATAGAAAAGACTAGGAACAGCAAATGCTGGCCAGGATGTGGAGAAAGGGGAACCCTCCTACACTGCTGGTGGGAATGTAAAATAATTCAACCATTGTGGAAAGCAGTATGGAGGTTCCTCAGAAAACTCAAAATAGAAATACTATTTGACCCAGGAATTCCACTCCTAGAAATTTACCCTAAGAATGCAGCAGCCCAGTTTGAAAAAGACAGATGCACCCCTATGTTTATCACAGCACTATTTACAATAGCCAAGAAATGAAAGCAACCTAAGTGTCCATCAGTAGATGGATAAAGAAGATGTGGTACATATACACAATGGAATATTATTCAGCCATTAGAAGAAAACAAATCCTACCATTTGCAACAACATGGATGGAGCTAGAGGGTATTATGCTCCGTGAAATAAGCCAGGTGGGAAAAGACAAGTACCAAATGATTTCACTCACATGTGGAGTCTAAGAACAAAGGAAAACGGAAGGAACAAAACAGCAGCAGACTCACAGAACCCAAGAATGGACTAACAGTTACCAAAGGGAAAGGGCTGGGGAGGATGGGTGGGAAGGAAGGGATAAGGGGGAAAAAGGGGCATTCCAATTAGCAGACATAATGTAGGGGGGGCACAGGGAAGGGAGTATACACAGCGAAGACAAGTAGTGATTCTATAGCATCTTACTACACTGATGGACAGTGACTGTAATGGGGTATGTGGGGGGGACTTGATAATGGGGGGAGTCTAGTAACCATATGTTGCTCATGTAATTGTAGATTAATGATACCAAAATAAAAAAAGCTTTCACTATGTAAAATAAACATGGTATCGTTTCTATATGAAAAAAATAAAAATAAAATAAAAATAAAAGATTTAAAATGGAAAAAAAAAGTGGCAGCGCTGGGATTTGAACCTAGCTTTCCCAACTCCTAGTCCATGCCCAGTACCGTTTTACTACATTCAGGTTGGTGGAAAGAAAGAAAGGCTGAAGAATTGACCAAGAGGATTGAAAAATAGAGGTGGAAAGACAGGGGAGGCAGAAACAGAGGGACAAAGGTTCTTGGCAAATTTTTACAGCACTGTGTCTTCAAACTTGATGGAAGTGTAGATTTCTCATAAGCAGTAGGCCAACTTTCTTATATCTGGATTTATTGAATAGTTTTGCATATTTAAAAAGAATTTCATAAAAGTGCACATACAATCACCAAGAACTATGTATCAGTGAGGATTGAGAATACTATTATACAATTCATTCGTAGAAAGAGAAACCAAAGTCATGTTTTCTTTCTTGATGGGATGGGCCTGTGACACAGCTAGAGACCAGATACGACCAGCTGGAGCTGAGCACGATCTTGGTGCACTTCTGTCCTGCTTCACACGTAGGTCTTCTTTGAGAATCTCTGTCCCACCGTATGGGGCCATATTCCCTTCCCTCGCTAGGAGAGAATGTACTCGTGTTTTACTTGATCCACGTGTTAGGGACTGCCAAGAAATACAGCTCATCATCGCCATTTCACCTGGACATCTTGGGATTTATAGCTGGAGAAAGTACTCTTGGATCCCAGTTGGACATCATGATGTAAGTATAAACGCTGTCTAGATAGTGTCCTGGGTATGCTGGAGTATTAGTGCTGTTTGCAATTTTAAACTTTAGGATGAATATAAAGCAATTGGCTACTGTCCAGATGAGAGCAGGGAAGACAATTAAACACTTGGAACCTAGGAGTCATGAGGAAAGAACCTGGCTTCATTTTAAGGATGTAAAAGGGGTTATAACCAGCTGTGAGCCACGTGCTTTGGAAGAGATAAGTATTTAACCAGTTGCAGAAGGAAAGTTCCCCAAATATAAGAAATAACACAATGAAGCTGGTTGGATACTTAGATCAGGGTTGTAAAAACACCATATACTACTCTCTTCAAGAGAAAACTGAAAACAGAATCATCAATGCCTACCTCTGTGTGATATTTTGAGAATTAGCACAGTGTCCATAAGCAAGGACTCAGTGAATGTTAATTTTCTTTCTCCTTCCTTGAATTCAAGTCATAAGATGGTGACCATTTTTCTTCCTAGGCTAGGTGTTGGCAAAGTACAGCCTGAGGGCCGTATCTGGCCTGCTACCTGGTTTTGTACCTGTGAATGGTTTTACTGGAACGCAGTCGTGCCCATCGGTTTCCGTCTGACCTGGATGGGCTGCTGTGGAGCTACTGGCAGAGTTCAACAGCTGTGATGGCAAAGCCGAACATATCTACCGTCTGGTCCTTTACAGGACAAGTTTGCAGACTCCTGCCCTAGTATAAAGAACAGCATGAGTGAACTGTCTGGGGTCTCCCGGTGATTACTGCTTTGGCTATGGGGCAGCTGGCTCTAAAAATGAGAATGAATGAAAAGCCCAGGCCATTGGTGTTGGCTGGCAATGTCCTTTAGGTGACATTTCTGTCACATGTCATTGGTGCTTTTCTCTGGCTCCACTAGAAGTGCTATAGATGTTTGCATCAATGATGGGGAGTAATTTTATGCCAATGAAGGAACACTGACCCCCATCAGTTTTACTGCTGAGCAGACCATTCAAGTAATGTCATTTTTACGTTTCCTACCCTGTAAAGGATATTTTAAAAGAAGGTAGCCTGTGGTTGACAATTTGGTCCTTTCTCTCCCACATGAGGTGGCCTTGACCTTTCAGGAGAGACGAAGCTTCTCAACCAAATTAAAAAAGGCCTACTTGAGAACAATACGTGGATGATTTTTTAAAAACAGATGAGCCCTGAGATGGAAGAAGAGATTCCCTTTTGTATTTTTGCCTTTATGTTGATTCTTTGCTATCAGGTGCATGATAAGATCAGGTCTGGGAGTCACAATAAATGCTGGTTTTTTGCCATCATGAGCACCCCACCCCCTCCGCAAAAGCAGGCTGATTTTCTTCTTTCTAAGTGGTGGACTCCTGTATTAAAGGCCTTGAACTCCAGGCTGCTACTGAAAAGGCTTTGACGTGTCAAAGGGAAGCACCTTTAGCTAACAAAGCCATTCAGTCTCTATTCTTTCTGGTACTCAGTCTTGAAAATGCAAACAAAAGCAAGGGGAGAACAAGGCCAACCGACCACCGCGGACACGGGAGTCCGGCAGCTGGGAGTTTCCCAGCAGCCCCGGCACTCACCTCTCAGTGATGTTCTTAGCAGTCTGTAGGAAACGCGCATGATCATTCTCCTTCAGAGAGTGTTCCGCTTGGGAGATGAGTGATGCCGACCGCTCAATGCACTGTTTGCAGTTTGCAATTTGTTGAGCCAGTTTGCGAAGCCTCATCACCTTGAACAAAAGAGGCATGGAGGTGGTTACGTGGGTGGGCTTGCTTAATTCAAATGCATCAGGCTGCACCCTTGTGATGTGTGCCATTTGTCGGGTGTAAGTCGTCCTTTGATAAATGTTCAAAAAGTACACATAGAAATATGGAAATCTCAGTGATGGGACTCTTGTCTTAGATACTCTTTATGTCCTTGGAGAAGTAAGTGCTGCTAACTGGTTTTATGAAGCACTGAATTGTGAATTGCTTCCCTGTTGATGGGGAAAGAGGTGTTGCTTGGTGGAAATGAGGGGGTCACCGGACCTCTTCTCTTGACTCTTCCACACAATTACTGGAAGAATGTAGGGAACCCTGGAACTTTCTCTATCTCAGTTTTTCAGCTGGGCCATCAAGAAAACAAAACAGCTCTAGAGGTATAAATGTGTGGCTTAAGTAAAACCATTTTCTAGAAAGCTCTTTGCAATCCAAACAATAAAATTGTGATGTAAAACTATCAGGTATTACTGTTTCCCACACTACCTAAAACTCATGTGTTAAATGAACAGAAAGGGAGCATTTTTTCCATTGATTAATAATTTTCCTGTTGAGCAGATGAGACAAAGCCAAAAAAAGCACAGCTGGGCCATTTCCCCTTACTGGGAACGTCAGTTCCAGGCACTCTGTGCTTGCTTGATAACTATGAACTATTTTGATAAGCATTTCCCAGTCGGGATAAAAAGTGTGTTTGGTTCCAGCCTCCATTCCAGTTCCTGATTCTGTCTTGCTTGAAAACGACCCTCAAACATAATTGACCATAACCTGCAGGGCAGGCCAAGATAAGTCCACAGTAACCCACCTGACCATCCACTCCACTGTCTGAAATGTGCTATGAGGAGAAGCCCTCGGCCAGAAGCCAAGTTAAAATTAGACCGTTAATTGCAATTGCTGAGTGCCTAGTGCCCCCATCCACACAGCTTGGGGACAGGTCTTGGCTGGCTTTAAGATCATTCTGGAATGGAAAACAGCCCTGGGTGAAAGGGTAGGGAGGAGACCAGTTAATCTGTCTTACAGACAAGGCTGGCTCAGGCTGCCTCCAGAATTCCTGCTAACTCCAAGAAATTCCTTCTTTCTCCAAGTCATCATTATCATCCCCATGCAACTCTAATCCAAGAAAAGGAAGGAAGAAGATGTCAGAACTTGAGGCCTCTGAAGACCGTCTCATTCCAGCTCTGCTTTACTACAGCAAACAAAGGAAACTAATGCTGAACTGTGAGGCAGCAGCCGCAAGATTTCAGGCAGGAGAGAAAAACTGGAAGCAGAGAGTCAGAGACTTGAAATGGCAAACAGAACGTGGTCCTGAGCCTCATAAAAGCCTTAAGTCATCATAATTATAGTGACCACCCAAAGCAGATGAACAGTGTTCATTAGTTGAATAAAACAATACTTACTTTACACCAAATAGAATTCAGCTTCTAGCATCATTACATCCAGAGGTAAAGCTAAGAAAGGCAGGGAGCCCAATTCAAGACATTAGAACACACCCATAAGAAACTGTCAGGGAAGGAAAATAACCTACAGTCTGGGGAACAACCCAAGCGATGGAACATTTAGTCACACAAGATAAAGCACCCTTTAAGTGACATGGGAGATTTGAGGATACTGACAAAAGAAAAGAAAGGCCAGTATAGTCCCTTAGAATAACTTCATGTCACTCACTTATCCTCTCAGAACGACCATTAGTGACCACACAGATTACCAAGGCAACAATACCTAACTCCATTTTCTTCTATCATGATGCTGGAAATCAAAAGTGACTTAAGAGGAAAAAGCAAGCCCTAAATCACACATAAATCGAAGCAAGCCAAAATGAGAGCCTCCTTTGAATATGCAGGAGTGTTTCCACTGGAAACAATTATTGACATGATTTTAATTTTAGCTCAGGGTACAATTCCATCTGCTACACTAGATCGGAGCTTTTCAAAGCTGGCATACACACAAATCAGATGGGGATCTTTTTTTTTTTCAAGGAAAAGTTGAAATCGGCAGAGCAGCAGGAAAATTGCATTTTAACAAGCAATGAATTTTTTTTTTGATCTGCAGGTGATGGATCATTAGTATGGTCAGGACCAGCATTTTAAAAACTAAACAGATGAGGAGAGAAAAAGTAGCAGAGTACATTCCTGGTAGAGAGGGTGCGTTAGTTTAGGAAAACTTTTTGCTTGTATGTGTGGTGTGTGTGTATGGGCTGGATTGGATATCATGTGTATTTCCTACTGTGGGTTTCCTTTCAGTTTTTTAAAAAGGAAGAAAAGAGAAAAACACTGTTTTAAGTTAGGTGCTCACAAACTATGGTCTGTGAGCAATATCCAGCACATAACCTGTTTGTGTAAATAAAGTTTTATTGGCGTACTGCCACATTCATTCGTTTATGAATCATCTATGGCTGCTTTCACACAACAACATCGGGCAGAGGTGAGCTGTTGCAACAGAGACCATATGGTAAAGCTTAAAATACTTATTATCTGGTCCCTTCCAGAAAAAGTTTGCTCACTTAGATAATTCTGATCAGATGGCCCTGACTTGAATCAATCTCCATTAAACACATCCTTCATGATACAGGATTAGGCACTGAGCTTTTAGCAAATTTCTGACTTCTTCATTAGAAAACACTTTTTTATATGTTATTTAAAAAATCTGATGAGATTAACAGAATTTGATTTTTTAAAAGAAACACTAGATACTGACACATAAGAAGAGTCTCTATACGTGTTGCTGCTGCAGAGGAAATTTTTCCAAGTCAGCACTGTTCTTTTTCCCTTTGGGAAGGGTGATCGCACATTGTGATTTTTGGAATTCACTCCATACACATCATGGAAATATTCCGTCTGTTGGAATCTCCTTTTAGCGGGGATATAGGCCTATTTATATCAATTTATTTGCTGTTTATTATCCTAAAGTAGCCTTTTATTTTTCTTTAAATGCATTTTAAATGCTTTTATATATGTGTAGGATTCCCACCCCAAAATTGTTATGTTGAAACAAACTGATCCTCAGTTAACACAAGTATCTGAATTGACAGTGAGGCCTGTACTTGGCATTTCCATAAGGCTATAGAAAGGTCCAAACATTTAGTTCAAGTTAATTATCTTAAATTTTGGAGCTTAAGAGTACATAAAAGCAGTGAAGAGAAGAGACTCTTTTTCTTTGGCTGCAGCCTTCTACTGACAATCTGTGTCTAAACATAAAACCCATAATCTGCTTAATCTGGAGTTTGCCGCCAGCTCTCTGTGTGTTGACAGAAGATTTAGCCCTTGCTACTGAAGAAATAAGATCATTCTTTCCCAGGGAGTCTCATGGCTTGAGATCTTCAGTCTGTCCAAGTATAAAGGCTGTTGAACTATTTATTTCAAAGAATGCCCTGGTCTGAGAGCAGGGATTATCAGCGTGCGCTAATCGGTAACAACATCGCCTGCTTGGCAGCCTCCCCAGCTGGAGGGTTTGTGGTGAGGTCCTTCCAGCAGATCTAACGGCCTTGTGACTGACACCAAGGGCAGAGAAAGGCAAACTCACCAGGAGGATGAAATGCACCTTTGTGGTCTCCACAGTTTTGCTGGCTCTTCCTCCAGCTCCCCACTTCTGAGTGCTGGTCAGAAGGCCCCATCACCCCTTCTCTGGATTCAGTGTCCTCTGACTGCCCAGCCATTACCCTGCTACCCTCCCTGGGCACCAAGTCCGCACCAGCCCTCCGCAGCCTGGCATCTCAGATTTCCAGGGGGTGAGCACCCACATACTTCTTTTCTTCAAGACCTATCTCCGCACTGTGAATTCCAGGGCTTGGGATCCACTAGTCCTGGATTATGTGCCAAAGCAGCAACTCAAGAGAAAGCTGAACTGGACCCTCACATTTCCCAAGTCATGTTTGCTTTCTGATATTGCCATCTGAGATAATGTCCCTGGGCAAATGTGCACTTTTAAAAAAGTGACAAATTTCAAAAACACAATTTTTAAAGGGACATGATCAACTTTTCTGTATACAGTACCAGTTTTACCAAATCTCAATATTTTCATCAGACTGGCGACAGATTTTTCAAAAGGAGGGAAAATGCTACTGGTAGCACTGAAGCCCATATGTGTCCCTCCCTCATTTCATTCAGGACCCTCTCCAGAGGAAAACACCCTCTTCAATTCACTCCCCCAAGCACATTTATGTATATACGCCTGAACACTCTGGGATTTTTGTGTATATATGTATAACACCACTCATTCCACACAAATCATTATAAAACTTGCTTATACTTTTGTGATTTTTCCACATGAACACGTATCACCCTAGTTCATGAATTTTGATTTCTGAAGACTGTTATATTATATAAATGTACCATTTACTTGTTTTATAAACAGCTTTACTGAGATATAATTAACAAACTGCACATATTTAAAGTGCAAATTTCATAAGTTTTCAAATACGTGTAAACCCATAAAATAGTCACCACATTCAAGGTAATGAACATGTACATCATGCCTCCGATTTTCCTCCTGCCCCTCTGTAATTCTTCTTGCACGCCACTCCCTGTCATTCAGGTCTGAGCAACCACCGAGTAGTTCTCTGTCACTGGAGATGATTAGAAGAGTGTCACTTCTAGAATTCCTTGTGAATATACTCATGCATTTCTGTCTGGCTTCTTTAACTCATCATAACTACATTGAGCTCTCTCCATGCTGTTACATGTATTAATAGTTCATTCCCTTTTATTCCTGAATGTTATTCCACTGTATGCTTATGTCACAAATTGTTCATCCACTGAGGGACATTTGGGCCATTTCCAGTTTGGGACTATTGCCCGTAATATTAAGATGAAAATTCATGTACCAGTCTTATATGGACATATGCTTTGATGTGTGAACACTTAGAATGGCTGGATCATATGGTAAATGAATGTTTAAATACTTAAGAAACAGTCAGTTTCCCAAAATGTACCATTTTCATTCTTACAGTGTATTAGAGTTCCAGTTCCTCCATTTTCTCCACAATACTTGGTATGGTTCATCTTTTTAATTTTCACCCTTCTGGTAAGTAAGTAATCTGGTACATCGAGGTTTTATTTTGCATTTTTTAAAATAATTAATGAGTTTGAACATCTTTTCATGTGCTTGTTTGCCATCCGTATACCTTTTTTGGTAATGTTTCTACAGGCACACCTTGTTTTACTTGGCTTCATTTTATTGCACTTTGCAGATGCTGTGTTTTTTACAAAATGAAGGCATTTGTTGCAACCCTGTATGGAGCAAGTCTGTCAGTGCCATTTTTTCCAACATTTGCTCACTTCATGTTTCTGTGCTGCATTGTGGTAATTCTGGCAATATTTCAAAGTTTTCCATTATTACTGTGTTTGTTATGGTGATCTGTGATCAGTGACTATGACTTGCTGCAAATGCAGATGACGGTTAGCATTTTTAGCAATAAAGTATTTTTTAATTAAGGTATATACACTGTTTTGTTAGACATAATGCTATTGTACATTTAATAGACTACAGTATAGTGCAAACATAACTTGGCTTAACTGCCATATTCGCTTTACTGCTCTGGAACCAAATGTGCAACGGGATTCCCTGAGGTACACTGGCATTCAAATCTCTTACCCATCTTGGTGAAGGAGTTATCTGTTTCCTTATTAATGAGTTTTAAGAATTTGTTATGTATTCTGGATACAAGTGTTTTATTAGATAAATAATCTATAAATATTTTACTCCAATTTGTGGTTTGTCTTTATACTCTCTTAACAGTACCCTTTGAAGAGAAGTTCTTCTGTTTGGATGAAACACAATTTATAATTATGTATATAATTTATAAATATTTCTTTTATGCTCTCAGCATTGTATATAAATAATCTCTGCCAACCCACATCACCAAGATTTCCTCCCACGTTTTCTTCAAGTTGTGTAGTTTTTACCTTTTACATTTAGATATATGATCCACTCTGATTTAATTTTTGTCTATTGTATAAAGCATGGATCAAATTTCATATTCTCACATGTAGATATCCTCCTTTATGTGGAGGCTAAAACTCAGTTTCCAAATTTCCCCGGCAGCTGAGTTTTCTTTGTACTTTCACAATGTCTATATTTTTTACTGCCCAAGCTGCTAATTTGCTCTTTTCACATCTATTTTTTCTTATTTCATATCCTTCTTTTGAGATTTCACAATTTTTTGCTCTGTTGAAACAGAAGTTATTCCTTCATTTACCCTTTGGACATCTTTTTAATATTTTCCATAACATTAATGTCACCTGGGGTGAGAGAATGTCTTTGCTGATTTTGTTAGCTGCACTTTTTAGAAATTCAGGATTTCTTTATACGCTTTGAAATAGTGGTTTGAGTTTCAGTTTCAAAGGAAGAAGTCATTCATCATGTTCCTCTCCCTCACTGCCCTCCTTGCTTAGTCCACTCTGTGCGATGGTTTTACAGTCACGTTCACCTCACCCTTGGAGGCCTCGTTCTGTAATCTTCTATTATCTCTGCATTTCTGAGGCTCCTGTTTCGTGCATCAGGAATAGCCAGGCTCCAACCCAACAACTGACTTGCTCCAGATTTCCAGGTCTGAAGTTGCTAGAAGCTATGGCCTAGGTACAGGTTGGCAATAATCGTTTGCAGTCCCTCTTAATGAAAGGAGAAGCCTTATACGGCCCATGCCATTGCCCAGGGAGCCTGTTTCAGTCCCCCATTCCGTCTGGAGCATGTCCAGCTGCCTTGCCCCAATGATTAAAGAACGATTTATCCACAGGAGCTGAAGGTGTACTCCCAGTGGCCCGTGTCTCAGCTACAAGACCAGCTTTGTAGTTTAGACCCATTTCTGGTCCATGGAGAGGTTTACCTTGTTTGGGGTCCCCCTATGTCACTCTGCTTTTCCATCTTACTGTGTTTTCTCACTGATGTGTGTGTGTGTGGTGGGGAGTGGGTGCCCCAAAGCATGAACGCCACGCAGCACCATGGACGGACCTGCGGCGCCCCTTCACTGCTTTGGTCTGGCTCATAGGAGAAACCCTCACGCTGGGAAGTGAAGTCAGGGCAAGGAAGCGTGCTGGCGGGTGGCTGTGGTGGAGGGTCACTGCAGGCAGAAGGGCCCTCCAAGCAGCTCAGCGGCCCCATATCCTAATCCCAGGAGGGTTTAAATGCGTTACCTTACATGACAAAAGGGACTTTGCAGATGTGATTAGGCCAAGGATCCTGAGGTGGGGAGATTTTCCTGGACTGTCTGGGTGGGCTCAATGCAGTTCTAAGGGTCCTTCTAAGAGAGAGTCTGTGTCAGAGAAAGATGAGATGGAAACAAAGGTACAGTGATATGATGAAGAAACCAGGAGCCAAAGAATGTGGGTGGCCTCTAAAAGCTGGAAAAGGCAAGATGTGGATCCTGCCCTATGAACAGCCTCCAGAAAGAAATACCATGGCTGAAACCTTGACTTTCAGCACAGTAAGAGTGTCTGCACTTCTGGCCTCCAGGAGGTCAAATAATAAGTCTGTGTTGTTTTAAGTACCAAGCCTGTGGTAATTTGTTATGCCAGCAATAAGAAACTAATATGAGCATTGGGCAACAAATTACCTTCCATATGCATATTAATAATTAACTGCGGCTGTATTCCGGGTAATCCTGTGCCTGAGAACCTGGGTATTAAGAGATGTACACACGTGGGGCATGATGACAGAGGGGAAATATATCCTGTAAGGATTCCAGGCTGACACTCAGGGTTCTTCTACGTTACAGAATTTGTATGTGGGGAAAAGTAGCTTCTTAACACATCTGAGTCAGTCCTTGGCCAGAAATAATTTCCTATTGATTTGCTAATTCACTCTAACAGCTTCATTTTCTGATCACCATCACAACTTACATATATAAATATTTTTCCATCTATAGAGACAAAGTCATCTAAAACATTAAACCATATTAGAAGTACCTTTTAAATTTTGTAGAAAACAGAGACCACATACATTAGCTATTGTAATGTCCATGTACTACCTAATACTCATTAACTTGATTTAATTATACTTTTCATTATACCTATGAGCAATAATAGTAAAAATTCATGAATTTATTGGCTCTTAAATGAATGCCTATTTTTAAAATATTTTCAAAATTATCTTTGGAGGGTGGCAGAGAAATGGGTAAAATAAAATGGATCATAACATTTTGATAAACATGACTAATTTAAACTAATTTAAACATCATTAGAATAAAGCAATGGTTCTAAAGTTACCAACAGTTTCTGAATGAATTTTCAATAAATGAGAAAGGGCCATAAAGAATATAAATTTGTGAGCTGCATTTGAATATAGTGTACTGTAAGATTATAGGAATTTTAAACATACAAACATTAGAAAAAAGTACTATTAATATATCCACATGGTATGTGATACAGTGAAACTATTGGACTTTTGCCACCATGAAATTATACCTGTATAAATGCCCTCAAGGTCATGAGAAAGCACTTTGTAATTTCTATACATAAAATTCTAATTCATTTAAATGCTTATTTAATACTGTGTTAAGTGCAGGACTATAGCAATAAATATGAAACAAACTCTTCCTCTGAAGAACCCACTTTCTCATCAAGAAGAGAGATGGGAAACAAGGGCTGCGACAGGCCAGACAGAGCTCTGTGCTGTCCCTGGAGCTGGGTGATGGAACAGCGCATACATTACTGGTGTGTGCAGAAGACCATGACAATACAAGGAAAGGGGGGTGGGGGGAAGGGCCAACCAAGGGGTTTGAACTATGTTTAAAGACTTAAGAGGTTATAGAAAATATAGAAAAAGGTGGTATTCAATATTTCCTAAGCTACTATGTGGAAATATATTTTCTCTAGGTAGAGAATATGAAATCTTCTGTTCTAGAAATCCTACCTTCCCTTCTTTGATCTTGGTTCCAATAATTTGTCGTCTTTGCTGAATGATCTCAATGAGAAGATCACACTCCTCCATCAGTTTGGCTTCTTGACGTGATGCATTGACCTATGGGATATATAGAATGGTAAGCATTAATTTGGCCTTTGTTTCAGTGAAATGCTCTTTTTAAGTAGACTGGTAGGTTGTTGGTAATTGCTGAAAAGATATTTTTAAATGTCAACTCTTCTTCCAATTATGCAGGCCTGGCAAATATAGGATTTATGTGTCCACTTCCGATCTTGCATTTCTGGAAACATTATTATCCAATGATAGCAGTCTGCTAAGCCAGACTCAGCCTCAGAACCTTTCTTAACACAACATATACATAACTATTATCAAACTGTTAGAAACTGACACTTGAAATATATTTGCAATTCCTGGTTTTATATTTTGAAAGAAAGTGCAATTATGGCCTGTTAAACATAAAAAGTTAAAAAGACTAATAATATTATTTTTCTATGGAGGATAGATTACTATCAATTTCTTTTGGATAAATTTTCCAAAAACAAGATAGCAAGGTGACATCATATTTATTTAACTTTTCTTTAAAATACAGACATCAACTTTGTATGAAATCACTATAAAAAACATCAAAAAAGATAAAGGATGGTTGAGTATTTTATTAATCTTATGACATTATTTTAAATTTTACTTCCAGTGTATACTTCTGAAAGACCAAGGTTCCACAGTGAAAGTGTGCCAATCTCCTGGAAAGGTAGATCACCGTAGAATGGCTTGTATTCACAGTTTTTAAGACTCTTTGTATGCAAGGGAAGGTTACAGTTAGCTCATTCTTGGCAACTGGGCTTGGGAAATACTCCGCACACACTATTTCCTCCACCTCTTGACAATTCTGAAATGCTTATTCACAGAGACCCAGAAATCACAGCTGTGGGAAATAGAGCTAGCATGCATTCGTTTTTTGTATTTTAACACAGTGCAGGTGAAGCTGCAGTGTTACAAAGAAAGACAATAGCATAATTGAATACTCTAGTGTACCTCAGGGAGGAGACATGGCCCAGCCATTAAGCTCTTTTGATTTGGGATACTTATTTAACTAGAATAATTTCATTCTCTATGAGATAAACCGGAAGCAGGGTCAGGAGTTCAGGATAAAAATCCACTGATGCCTGTTCAGAGAAATCCTGTCCTGTTTTCTGGAGCTCAGGGTTCCATGGGTTTTACTCCTGATTCTTCTAAGACACAGCAGAGACACTACTGAAGATAATTTCTCATTGAGCAGATGATGGTCACTGACCATTTGCAGCAAACCACAAGACCGTGTCCTATGTTCGATTAGCACACAGATATATTTGCTAAATGTTAATGAACAAAAGAAAAAATTAAAAGTGAACTGATGGACCAGTACGGATTATGGAACTCGGACTAATACTTCAAGGAAGTTCATCACAGGGCTCAATTTCCCTTTCCATTACTTTCATGTCATGATTTCCAGTTCCCCTGGAGGCTTCCCAAATAAACTCAGCTCTCTATGGAAATATTTACTTGACACTCCATTACTCTAAAAAAACTTACTGTCTTTCCTTTTGACCTGAAACTGAGTTTAATAACTGACTACAACAGAGCTGTGAAAAGGATGGGATCATATTGAAACCATGGGCACATTACAATGGGGAAGGTGAAATTTCTGGAAAGTAGCACCCAGCACTTGAAAATCTCCTGGCCTGAGCCCTAAGGGCTGAGATGTACTTGAGCATCCAGTCAAGGCAAGTCCAGGATGCAAACTCCGTAAGGGCAGGGACTTTTGGCCGTTGTGTTAAATGAGGCACCTCTCCCAAGCGCCTGGCACCATGTCTGGCACAGAACAGGAATTCAAAAACTATTTGTTGAGTGAATGGACAGTGGAAATAACCTTCCAAGAAGAGACAAGCACTCATTATGAAGATACTGGATTTACTGGTTTTCTAAGAATGAGTAGAAACAAAATTACATCCTAAGGAATTTTTTTTTTTTAGCAGGGGAGGGCATTGATTTATTTTTAAAGCCTTACTAAAACATATTTCACTTATCACCAAATGCACTCATTTGAGTGTACAGTTTCGTGTGATTCAGAGTTACATGATCATTACAATTTAATTTTAGAACATTTCCAAGCTCCCCAAGAGAAATCCCATGCTCCTTCTCAGTAGCTCTACATTGTCACTCCCCACCCCGCTGCAGCCTTAGCAAACCAGTAACCTACGTTCTGTCTCTCTATGGATCTGTCTGTTCTGGGCACTTCACATAAACAGAATCAAACAATAGGTGACCCATTTTGTCTGACTTCTTTCACTTAACATAGTGTTTCCAAGACACCTCCATGTCATAGCAGGTGTCAGTACTTCATTCCTTTTAATGCCAAATAATACTCCATTTTAAGGATATACCACATTTTGTTTACCCATTCATTTGGGTTGTTTCTACTTTTTTTGTTACTGCAAATAATATTGCTATGCACATCTGTGTGCACATATGTATTTATTCTTTTTGAGTATAAAGTGGAATTTCTGGGTCACACATCTACTCAAAAAGTGTTTAACTTTTTGAGGAACTGCCAAGCTGTCTTCCAAAGTAGCTGCATCATTTTATACTCCAACAAGTGTATGAGGCTTTTGGTTTCTCCCCCTCCTTGTCAAGAGTTGATATTGTCTGCCTTTTTTGTTTAATTCATCCTAGTGGGTGTGGAGTGGAATCTCAGTGTGGCTTTGATTTGCATTTCCCTGATGACTACTGACATTGAGCACCTTTCCAGGTGCTGATTGGCCACATGTATATCTACTTTGGAGGTATGACTACCTAGATTCTTTGCTCATTTTGTAATTGGGTCGCTTGTCTTCATATCATTGAATTATACAATTTCTTTATATATTCTGGATATAAGTCCCTTAGCAGATACGTGATTTGCAAATATTTTCTCCCATTCTGTGGGTCGTCTTAAGAGTTTTCTTGATGGTGCCCTTCAAAGCACAAAAGCTTTTAATTTTTACAAAGTCCAATTTATCTGCTTTTCTATCATCACTTGTGCTTTTGGTGTAGCAGCTAAGAAACCTAATCCAGCGTCGTGAAGATTTACGCCTCTGTTTTCCTCCAGAAGTTTTATGTTACATTTAAGTCTATGGGCCATTTTGAATTAGGTTTTGTGTATGGTGCGAAGTAGGGGTCCAACTTCATCCTGTCACTTACGGATAGCCAGTTGCCTAAGCTCCATTTATTGAAAAGACTATTGTTTCCTCCACTGAAGTGTCTTAGCACTTTTGTCAAAAGTCAGTTGACCATATCATGAAGTAGTCAGGTTCTGATGTTACTGCGAACACAGTCTGTGCTCAGTGATATTCTGGTTTTGACTATACCTGTTAAGACCCCACCAGGAATTCTAGAATAGATGCCATGAAATGCAGTGTGGAGTACTAGCTCTTCTCATAGGATGATATCAAGAAACCTAAGAAGTACCTCCATTTCTAAGCTTTCTTATTTTGTAAAATGAGGTGAATAATGTCTGCTTTCTCAGCCCTGTGAGATTACTGTGGTAAATACACGAAATTATTGATGAGGAAATGACTTATATTATGAAGCCAGAGACAAATCTGAGGTAGTATTGCCTGCACTGAGAAGCACTTTTATTAACAGATCCTGATTTAGCTTGGGATCCATTTCACTCTCAAAATCATTGGGAGTGAGGTCACTCTATGATAGGGAGAGTGTCCCAGCTGCCATCATAACAATTTAATCCAAATTCTATTAGATATTTAAGATGGATAGGTTTGCTTTGCAAAAAAGTGGATTGAAATCTAGTTTGTTGAGCCAAGTTATGTTTTGAGAAAGCTGATAACCACAACCACCATTGCCCCAAAATATAAATGCCCAGGAATTCGGAAACATGATCTGTTCGTTTTAGGCCAGCTATTTTCCTTAGATCTTTCAAAGAATACAGGGTTGACTTTCCCCTGAAGCCAGAAAAGTTGAATCTCTCTCTACTTTGATGAAGCTTCCAAATTTTTGTAAGTCTAGCATTCTTAATATTCCAAAAGGTACAATAAGGTAAGTTGAACACTATCCTCTGTTTCTAAAATTCTTTCACTACAAAGAGGTTTTCCACAGTTTCGCTATTTCTATGTCATTTTAAAAAAGTTAATGGCTCCATTGGACTTCATTTCACATATGGGCTATTAATTCAAATATGGCTTCAAATAGGGCTTATTGGTTACCTGCAGAATAATCATATGTTTCTAGTTCCCAGGTTTGGTTTGGAAGCTGATTATGATTCATTTCTGATTCACAACTTTTGATTCATAAATGACTAAGGCTGATGGAAGTGAAGGGCTTTGAGTCAGGCCTATTTACACATACAAGAAACAACCTCCAAACCTCCTTTCAGAGCCCTACACTTCCATCTTTATGTGTAAAGTCTCCTTCTCCGTCGTCCCTAACCTAAAGACAAGAGTGGGATGAAGATCATATAGGAATGATGGCCTGTGGCAGGAGACTTCTGTACCTGACCTCTGGACCACACTGGAACAGGGCGCTTATCCTTCAGAGCACTAGACATTGCAGGACAAAATATAGCTTAAAGTTGCGCCTTTCCATTCCAGGCTCCTCACTGCTGCTTTTCCCCGCTCATCTCAACTGCACTCCTATGTCTAGTCAGCTCCTCAGGAGGAGAGTCCACCGTTTTCAGCTCCCCTCAGCTTGGCCTCGCCCTCCCTGGGCACGGGCACCTGGCGCACTGAGCAGCAGCACGTGCCCACCTCTAGCTGCGGTCACAGCGGCTTCTCCCACCTGGAAAAGTGCCCGTTCCCCCAGCACCGTCTTCGGGCCCTCAGTGCTCACTTCATCTCCTCGCAAAGTACTCAGATTCTTTTAAAGTTAGACAAAAACTCAATACCGCCAGAATCTGTTTCTTCTTTCAGGAGTTATGAACGTAATGTATATATTTTTCGTCCCTAACACCTTATCTGAGGCTGCAAGTGCCAGAGCCAGTGTCTTACAAGACTAAGTCCTGATTATTTTCATAAAACACTTGCAGCCTTCACTCTGAAAGAGCCATGCACAACCACTGATTCATTCAT